CGAGAAAATGATACTGTATAGAGCCGCTTTGTTGTTTTTCTAATTTAATCTTATATTCTAGTCTTCAAAAGCTTTTGACATGTCTAAATTAAGAGCTGAGATTATATGGAATCATCGGAAAGAATCAAATTCTATTAAATTACTTGCACCAAATTTTCAAGAAAGCATACAGAACCAACAAGAGATTACCAATGAAGAAAATAATGAGCCTTCTAATGAAACTGATCCTGAAACTGAATCAAGACTTGAAACTAAATCAAAACTTGAACCTGAATCTAAGAACGAAGATAATATGGCAAATGAAAACTTTAATGATGAAGAGATAGCAGACTCAAATTCTTTGGAGGAAAAATTTAGTCAATTTTTGGATATATGGGTGGAAATATCAACAAATGAAACTGAAGAATTAGCGGATATAGACGAAGAAGAAAAAGAATTTTCTTTACTAGTTGATGATATTATTCACCCAGCGGTCGATTCTAGTACCAAATAGGATCTAATTACACTTTTTAATGAATTACCATTATTATAATTTATTTTTTTAATTTTTAATTTTAACAATTCAATTTATTTTATCATAATAATAAATAAAGAAATAAAGTTTTATAGGCTAGAGCCTTTTTAAACTTAGAATACTTTGAGATTGAAACTTGGTTTTCTACTGTACATTAGTATCTATTAAGTATTGAATGAACTTTTTATAAACTTGAAAAATTTTAGAAGCATAATCTTGTTATATAGTTTATATAATATGTGTTTAGTCTATATATTTTACGCTATTGTGATATCATTTTTCAATTTTTACGAATTGAAACATGATTCAGAGATTTAATTCAGATCATGAGACTTAATATAAAAGACTATTTATACGTAATAATTACATACTTATTAATACGATAATTGACATTAATAATGATAATAAGTTTAAGTAGTTCTCTAGTATCACTTCATTTATTATACATGAACCAATTCTTATACTTGAATCAATCTTTTTTATTTGCAATGCTTGAATCACCCTTTTTTTTTATTCTTTATATATTTGAATCGAAATATTACATATTTTTTCTATTTATAAGTAACATATAAGCAAAGTTATGCTAAATATTTGTTGAGCAGTAATGAATTGGAAACTAAAATGTTAAACTATTATGAGTGATGTTAGAAGCAAAAATTTAAGTTTTTACTGTGGCGAACCGATTGTATTTGTGATCAATTATCATTATGCAATATTATAAGTTTTGGGGTAAGTTCTCCACAGTGTTGCAGTAGTATGATATTATTTTTATTTTGGTAAATTATTTAAACTGATTTTGGCGATTTATAATGCTTTTTTAATGTCTAATTCAGACTAGCTTGAGTAATATATTGTCCAACGGACATAATTGGCTGGTTCGGTCCGAATCCAAGTCTGGTTTGAGTGACAACACTGCCATCAACTACCCAACTAACCCCAGGCTTACTTACCATTTATGTATGGATTTTGCATTACCCTGGCAGAGGATATACTGACTGCTTTAAAACTTACCAACCATTTCTGGCTAATTTATCCTCAAGATAAACCTAACAAAGTGGTACATGTCCCACACATGTATTCACCTGCATATTTCTATAACTTCTTCCTAATTAGTATATATTGGCCGTTCCATATTCATATCTCACACCATCTTTTGTAATATAATAATATATATATAATATATATTATAATATATATATAATTTTTAAAGTTTGAGATTCTGTGACCTAGTGTCTAAACACCCAACTTTTCATAAGCAGGTTTTGGATTCAAGTTCTAGTAGGTATATTTATCTACAAAAATTTAAATATACTCACACATGAGAAGCTCAAGTAAATACAAATTCAAAATAGGAATTTCTAAAAAGAGATTCATTTTGTAAAGAGATAACACTATATGTAATAGACAATATTACAGAAGGTTTTATTATACAAAGGTTGTGCATATAAATCCTTGATTGGCATAGGTAGTACCAATAACTCTAAGATGGCACTAGAATCTTATTTAAAAATATAACTAGGTAGTAATTAGAATTGGAGTAGCAAGAAAAGTGGTAAAACACAAATGGGACCTGTAATAAAAAATTAGTCTTACCGAGTTTGAAACATCTCTAGCACTATGTAAAACTGCTTAACAAAAGGGATAGATAGTATTAACAACCCTAAGGCAGCATTGGAATCTTGTTTGGAAGATAACTAGATAGTAACTAGAAATGAAGTAGCAAGAAAAGTGGTAAAACATAAATAGAACCTGTAATAAAGAATTGGCTTTATCAAGTTTGAATACCTCTGACATTGTGTAAAATTGCTTACCAAAAGGAGATAGAAGCATGGAAATATATATATATCAAGACCTAATGAAGCTCTGAGCATACCTATATAGAAGTTTTTGGATATTAAGAGTAGTTCAGGTTTACTAAAATTTAGATAGCTAGTATAAGTATATATAGTATATAACTAAGCTATAGTATGGAACAGTATATCCCAACAACTTATACTAACTTTTATTAAAGGCTTATAGCTATTATAATCTTATATATAATAAAAAAATTTTTTTAGCCAAAATATTTTTTATTATTGTAGCTATATTTTGGCTAAAATATTTTATTAAAATATTTATTTGATTAAGTGTTATATTATTTTTAAAATTATCTTTTTTCATATATTATTTTCAATTTGGCTGCTAAATATAATTGGCTAATTGCTTTATCACATAAAAAACGAAGAGTTCTCATTAGCCAATTCACTCACATAATACAAAAGTAATAATTAAATGATCACAATTTAATTATTTAATTACCACTAGTTGGAATTGTGTATAACAATGACAAACTGGTAATTTAAAGTTTATTTTGACAGGTTAATAATATAATAATATATAAAAAATAAATAAAGGACATTGATATATCACATTACTGGTGTTCAACACCACATTTTGATCTAGCCAATCAAATGTCATTCATCCGATTTTGTGTAATGATTGATTGTAAACAAAAAATAAACAAAAAAAGAACATGGTGTTGAACACCAGTAAATTTGAACCAATAAAAATAAAGCAAAATTTTTATTGTTGGCACAGCAGAATGGCTAGTAGCATGCAAAAAAATTTCCAGAATGTTCTAGAACAAATTAAACCATTCATATCTCAAAAGTTTCCTTATGAAACTGCCTTTTGTATTAAAATTACTCTTTGTGAAAATTTGTATATAGATAGTTTATATATCGTACATATACTATACATATTGCACACTATATGCACTATATGTACTGTATCGTATAAATAGCACACCACTAAGAGTGGTGCCTCAGATTTACTTGTGCCAGTAATAATATAAACAACAAAGAAAATCAATCACTGGCCGAAATAAGACAAACAGATTCAAATTGGCACCACAAGATTCAGATATAAACCTGATTTGCCTTATTTCGACCTGTGTATTGCTGTGTGTAAAGGTAAGGTTAGGATGTTAGCATTAGTTCTTATATGTAAAATCTTTAGTAAGATCGATTGAAATGTATGCGGAATTCCTAATCGACTTAAGTTTGTATTACTGGTGCAAATAAGGGAGGCCGGTGTTTACAAAAAATATATATGGAATATCACCTCACTGCTTATGTAGACTACAGCTTGTTTCAGATCAGTTAATCGCTCTTGTCATTTTGGATACATATTATTTCACCGACAACCACTTTATAGACACCACATTTCACTGGGCTTATTTTATCGACAAGTCTTTTTTTTATAAATTACACTAACTTTAACTCTAGCCTGATCCTAATGATATTGACCAGAATTACTTTGTAAAATGAGCTTTGGTGAAATAAGTGAATAATTGTTAGTGAAATGTGGTATCTACAAAGTGATTGTCGATGAAATAATATGTATCCTTATTAAGAGATTCAGATTTAATACTCCTTATTACAATAAATGTAATAATGAATCAAGTCTATAATAAGGTAACAATAAAATTAAGACAAAAATTAGTATAACACCGGGCAACTTCAAAGCACAAGACACGTGCTTATCAAGTCATTGCCGCAGCATATAGAGGATATATGAGGCAAAATTTAGATTTGCATCACCTAGTCACACTATTTGCTGTAGCGATAGCATGGAGATTCGTGACCCACACTTTGAGGGCTGCTTTGATAATGAGAGAAATTACTCTTACACATGTAATTTTAGATCGGAACTGCCTAAAATTTCCTAGCCATTTAACTATAGTTTCAATTGGACCAAATAACTCAAATCCAAAAAAAAAAAAAAAAATCGTTCTAAATCACATATTATCTAAGTTTAAGATTGCTTTATTGATTCAAAATTTAAATAAAATTTACAATTTGCCAAAACAAGGCTTCGATATTATACTAACTCTCTCTAAGGCAAATACGAGCATTGTGTTTCCCTTCATTACAAATACCACATTTTCTTCCTTTGGCTTTACTAGATTTACTAACATTTAACTCTACACCTTGTAGTATTTTTCGAGGTCTTTTGGCCTTATTTTTTTTGTCTTCTTGATCGAATACAGGTTTTCTTTTTCCTTTAATATCGGCATTTGCATTATTTGAACCTTTAGGCTAGCTCTTTGTCTTGATGTATATAGGATTGTTGACAGTAAGTGCAAACTCAGCAATATTATCGTTACATCTGACTTGACTTGCAGCTTCATTTTCTATTTTATTAACAAAGTCCTAGTAAATTGTATAAAGCTTCTCTACCCTACCCGTTGCAATAGCCAAATTTAATGTTTTTTTTATGAGACCAAATCCTTCTCTCCATTGCTGTTTTTGAATCATCTCTTCATGAATTTCAGTAGTAAAAATATGATTTCTCCGGAAATCGTCCAAGTGTGAAAAATCAACGTTGGTAGTATCATGTTCAACAGTACCAAATTCCTTACATGATGTTGCTAAAATCGCTAGCTTATTAGAAAGAACAGCCCCTAGCACAAACGAATCTTGATACCAACGTTGTGGTACGAGTCTAATATGGAATTTAGCATTTGGGGATACAAGCATAGTGGCGAAAAAATGATGGCATATAAGACCGCGATTTATCAATGTTAAGCACATACAGAGGAGCCTGATGTCATTATATAATACAACAAAATGTTCACTCTTTTTATTAATAGAGTGCACATACCACAGTTCACAAATTCTTATTGTGTCGAGGCCAGAGATCAGCTGGTTAAGCTCTACTAGGCAGGCGTTAAACATATCTTTAGAAAACATGCTCCTTGGTAAATCTGAATTAATCTAAAATAAAAGTATAATATAAGGCACAAGATTGATATTATTGTCACATGATTTTCTTACATCTATCAACCAATTAAAAATTAGGATCAGGTGTAATGTAAAAAATTCAAAACAAGCAAAGTTCAAAACAAACATTCTAATAGCTTTTTTAACCCTACTTTAACCTTCATCTAGCCCTAACCTAGCCAACCTTAACTTAATCTAACCCTAGCCTTAATACAAACAAGCAAAGTTCAACCATTCTAACAGCCCTTCTAACCCTAATCTAACCCTCATCTAGCCCTAACCTAGCCTAACCTTAACTCAATCTAACCCTAGCCTAGCACAAATGAAGTTTTTTTATATTTGTTTTCCCGATATTACATGCCAACACAATCAATCCTACATTCTATCAATATAATTAAATACACCTGTTGTCCAAGTTCACAATCCAAATTAGCTAATCGGCATCGATAATGCATACTTCGGTTCATCTTATACCATTGTAATTTAAGTAATGCATGATAGATCAACTTTTTGAAAGTAATGATCATAGTAATTCTCATCATGGCCTGCAGATAGTTTACCAACAGCCTCATTAAAATTAATGAACCGGCTTTCTTTTACTAACAATTTTTCAATTGCATGTTCAAGTTCTAAAAGTGATGATTTTCCATTAACATTATTCTTAAAAATTCCATTGTAGGATTCGACATGTTGCGTACTTTGTATTCCTGCGTTAAACGCCCAGTGTATATAACAAAGTGCACAGGCTTCCCGACACTGATAAAGATGGCAACACAGGTAATTTGTAGCATCTGGATATTTATTTAATAGCGAAGCCCACCTTTTTTCAAAAATCGATTCTACTCAACTATTGCACATATAACAAAATATGGAAAAAAATTTGCGCCACTTATTATCACCATATCTGCTCATAAAGTGTTTTTCTAAATTTTTTTGTATGTGAAATAGGCAAAAATGATACTTTGTCGTCAGCCAGGAAGTATTTATTGCAGCAATCATGGCAGGATCAGCATCAGTATAAAGCAGACTTGGTGCTAACCTCTCTGTTGTATTAAAAAGGCTAGTAAATAGCCATGTAAAACTGTCCTTGGTTTCGTCAGAAAGAAGGGCCATAGCAGCAAGACGGGAGCGATTATAATTGTCTACAAGGACTACAACACATAAAACCATTGAATAATGGTTAGTTTTTGCTGTTGTGTCAAGAAGAATAATGTCATGAAAACGAGCCCAAAGCTCTTGTTGAGATGGTCTCATCTAGCAAAGTCCTACAAGATAATTATCCTGATCTTCAAATCGAGCATCAACATGGAAGGCCAGATTTTTTTGCTTCTGCTTCATTAATTCAAAGTACACAAAACAAGTATCACTCTGAACAAAATTTTGGTGGCGAATGGATTAAGTAAAATTATAGACGTTGTGGGGATGAATATATTTTCTGCTGCAAAACCTCAATTATTGCTCCAACTTTTACACCACTTTCAGCTAGTAATTTTATATCGTCACACATTGCTGGAGTGAGCTTTCTATAATGTGATGAAAGGGCGTTTATATTTCTCACAAGCTCATGGTTATGCTGGTTCTCAACCTTTGTTATGTAGATTAAATTATCTTTCCGGCGGTAAAAATTAACGTGAAACTTGCAATTGCAAGTGTTATGCTCCTTATTGTGACTTTCATTAATATGGGCTTTCTTCCTAGGTATATGTTGCCGACCTCTTGTGCATGTGTAGGTATGTCGTCTAGGTGAACTATCACCTTTATTCTTGTTACTGTACGTGATTGTAAATGCAAACCCTTGTTCTAACCCATGAGACTTCAACTATCTAATAGCAAAAAAAAAAAAAATTCTTTAGCTTTAATGCCACAATAATTTTCAAGTGTCCCACAATTATCAAATCAAATTATTTTCTTTATATACAAACTATTTACTCATCAATTTCTTCCTAGTTTTTAAATCTATCCCAACTGCAATTGGATATAACAGTCTATTTTCAGCTTTAGTTTTACTCTCATATCCAGTGCTGATTTCAGTTTCTTGAACAACTTGACCAAAGTCATGAACAACAGAATGGTCATAAACGACAGAATCAACAGAACTTACAAAATGATTATAGGCAACAGAATGATCACGAGCAACAGAATGATGGGCAACAGAATTATAGGCAACAACAAAATTATGGGTAACAGAATTATAGATAACAGAATTATGAACAACAAAATGGTTGTAGACAATAGAATGGTCATAGATGATAGAATGGTTGTGGACGATAGAATGGTTTGCACTATAATAGTCACCACAAAAAGAAGATTCCTCAGCACTATGAAAGTCGCCGCTAGCGAAAGATTCCTTAGTACCACAAAACAAAAGACTTTTCGGCACCATGAAAGTTACCATAAATGACACTATGAAGGTTATTGCAAACAAATTCCTCAGCAGCACCACAAGGATCACCACAAACAAAAAATTTTTCAGCACCACTGGGGTCACTACAAATAAAGTTTGCCGATTTTTCTTGAAAAAAATCTGCGAGAAAAAAATCTGTGAGAGAAAAATCGTTATTTATAGCTGTGTTACTTGTACTACTTTCTTGCATTGCAGTATCAAAAAAAAAACTAAAAGGGCATTAGTGCATACATGTTAAAATTATATTGTTGACAATTAGAGGCCGGGCTAGGCCGGGTATGTCTAGTTTTCTGATTCAGATTAAAATGAAATTTTGATTTGAATCTGGAGCCGATCCAAAGTATTTAATGACTAAATGCTTATATATTGATGCAATGTGAAGAAAAAACTAAACCAAATCTCAAAATCCAGGCACTCTGGAACTTTTGGTCCAAACCAATTTAACAGTTTGGATTGGATATTTGAATCTATTGGATCCGAATTATTCAGAACACTAGGTATGTCTAGGCCCAAGCCCGGCCCAGACCTGGCATGATTTTAAAATTTACTAAGTACTATAGATGCAGACTTATTTATATCACTAGTTACGGCTCAATTGCGCCTTAGTTTATAACCTGATTTTTTATATAGAACGTAACTAATTGATGTTATAAGTCTACATCTATACTAAGTACATATAATAGGTTAAATTGGGTCTAAGCCTAGCCTGTTAATTATGAGCTAACCCAAGCTGAGTTTGAACCAGGTTTGGCTCAACCCTATTGACAATCCATTTTGATTGGCCTAATTTACATAATATGGTGTTAAACACCATGATTCAATTTATATATTTTGTTATACAAAAACATTGTGGTGTTAAACACCAGTGGTGTGATTTAGTATAACCGTAAATAAATATAGATTAAATTAGCAAATAATTGAACTTTTACTTTATTGTCTTAAACAAACTAATAATTAATTACAAATAAATCAAATTATAAAATTTAGTAGAGAAGTCAATAATAAAAGAAAGATCTGGTATAAATAAGGAGGCTAAGAGCAAAGGAAAGAGTTGACATAATTGAAGAGGCTAAGAATAAAGAAAAAGTTCAGTGTAAGTGAAGAGGCTAAGGATAGAAAAGAGATTTAGTATAACAGTAGAGTAATAAATAAGAAATTTTAGTAAGGGGAGTGCCATTTATCACCTGATTTTTTAGAGGGTGGAGGGGTAGAGAAATTTTTTTTTTTTAATATTAAAGGTGAGACCATCATCAGCAAAAATATATA